GACAGTCGAACCGAACGATTCTGACGGTTTTCATAAATTGTCCCATCCCTAATACATATATATGCATCTTTGTATGAATAGCCTTCCCAGAAGCTTATATGGATCATGGTTAGACCCAGGTATTATTTAATCACTTTTTGGAAGCCATAAGCATAGAGTGAAATTGTAATATATCAGTCAGAAAGTCAGAAAAGGTGTGGGGAAAAAAACTAAACATTGTTGTCAAACATGCTTTTGATCAAAAATCAGTGTCCAAATTTGAAATGAAATCTTTTATTCGTGGTCAAAACAGTCGATAAAAGCTGAAGTTCTCTTCTGATGTGTCAGAATAAAATTTTCTCCATCTGTGGATAAAAGCTCCTGCTGTCGTTCTGTGGAGTCCCAAAGCCTCAGAATTTTAATCTAGAATAGTTTGTTTTACACCCATCCAGACTGCTAACATTAATATTTTATTTCTTACTACAGCTTGAACTTGCTCAAATTATAAAGGTTCAGCCAAAGTGATTCTACAAGTGGCAGAGGTCAGGTTCGTATTTAAGTTATTTTGTGAGATGTTAACATTGTTTTATGGTTTAAGGATTCAAATGTAATATTATGATTATGTAATATAATCTAGAAATGCCATTTCACAGTACAGCAGGTATCACCATGTCAAGAAAATGAATGTACTGTCATGGGAAAAAAGTATTCAAATATTCATCCTAGTTAAATAAACGGAGATCGATGGATTTCACTCAGTCGGCACATTTATTAAATATCTTTGCAAAGAGAGAACAGTCATCATACAGCCCGAATGACAGCATTCTGCTCTGTTCTGCCTGAGCAGCGTTCGTTCCCCCTTAATTACAACAATGGAAAGTAGTCAATCAAAACAAATTACACACACTTTGGTTAACAGTAACATGTTATGAATAAACCTTGAGAAAGAACCTGATTTGTTATGGGAAGAAGCTGTCTGGTCTACAAACACCAGCCTGCACAGAAATATGTAGCCTTGAGAGAGAAACGGACTGAGTGAAAACTTTTATAGTGAGTAAATAGGATAAATTAATATATAATAGAAGAGAGATAAAACAGTACAAATCAAATTAAAGTCAGTGGAACCAACTTGAAAATAAATCAAAGCTGACAGGATGAGGTTAATTTGTTAAAGATCAAGTATAGGAAAAAAAAACTAAAGCTTAAAACAAAACAAGAGTCCAATGGATTTACAACAAAATGTAAACTTTTGAGAGCAATACACATGAAATAAATATGTATCTCAGCATTTCTTAGAGAAAAATATACAACTGGATGTGTTTTAAAGCATTTTCTTTACAATAACAAAAAAATATCTCACCTTTTCCCAAAGGGGAGCTCTTCCAGTTTAACACACAAATCTCCATGTTGATGAGGAGGATAATCGTGTTTTATTAAAACTTCCTTATAAGATACAGATATTTTTTACAGGTCATCACAATAAACAGACAACTAGTAAACAGTCAAACCCCAGATTAGAGCAAATACTTTAAATAACAAGAACAGGAACTTGTATTTTCTCTCTGTATACTTCATACATGTCTTAGCATATATATACAGTATGATTATTTTAAAAATATCTATTCATTTACAAAAAAAAAAAAATAACAGTAAAAAAAGGATGACTTACAAATTCTTTTCTAGCATTGAGCAGCAAAAGATGATTGAAGAATAATAACTTGAGCCTCATCATCATCAAATCTAAGAGAGATTAGAATTTTGTACCAAAGCAGACCTACTTCAACATCCTCCTCCCTTTGTTACATGACAAAGCTAAAGCAGATGGAAAAGCTTGGTTTCTCTATGATATTAGTCAAAATCTAATCAAAAATAGTTGTTCCTTTTTCTGCACACTAGAGATAAATGATTTACGAGAATCAGTTTAAAAAAACATTACATAAGATTCACTATGAAAAACTCATAGTGGGGTGGGGGGTTGATAAATCACACCTGAATCTAAGAAAGTTATTACGTTTTCCTTCTAAGCTACCAGGAGAGGTAGTGACAATTGAGTTGGTAACACTCCTCATTTATAAAATGTCACATAAAAAAACATTTCATGTACTAAAAATGTTCTGAAGATGGTTTTCTTTTAGGGACAAATGGAGGTCAGATGATCCCCAACTGACCCTAAGGAACCTCATCAAGCAGTTTTACTTCAAAGATTCCCATAAAACAAGCAAACAAACAAAAATAAAAACTGTTGTCAGCAAACTGTTTTTAATACTAGTCAGTGTTGGTGGACAGCTGCCTCCAGGTTGGAGGTCAGGCGGCTTGATTTCTCCAGGCAGAAACAGGTCTGCAGCGATGAGTGGATGCTGAGACAAAAAGAGGAGCTCTTGGTTCTCCAGCTAGTCTACACTTTAAACACAAAACAACTACCATGAAATGTGGATCATAACCAAAGAGTGAGCTGCTAAAAGGGTGGCTGGGCTCCGTATCACCGTAAAACATCGCCTGATAGACTGAATCTCCCTTTAGCACTAGAAAGTACTTAAGATTCCCCGAAGCTGGAGAGTGCTGCTAGTAAGAGGAGCTGAGTTTACCTCTCAGTCCTGTTACCTCTGCAACCCAGCCTCAGATGAAAGGAAAGAAAGATGGATTTAATGTATCGCATGTGTAAAATATCTCATAATAAAATATTAATGTCCCAGAAGGTTTCCAAACATTTAAGTCTTTGATGCCTGAAATAGCTGTGCTGTGCAGCGGACAGGACTAAATTTATTTATAATTATTATGAAATAAATATTCAATTCCATAATACAATAAATTAAACAGTTTATTTAATTATCCATTGTATTAAAAAAAAAAACGTTTTGCTAGTCATTTAATGGGACAATATCAAGCTAATTCCTTCATGATATACTTGGCTTCATTTTGGCCCTTTGTTTTTTTTACTCCTTCTCATGTCCAGCTTCAAGGCAAGCAGAATGCTGCTCCAGTGCTAGCCCACTGCTCCCCAATGGGATGGGTTAGTGAATTTCTCTATTGTGATATTACATTATCCGTTTCCTGTATTTCACCTCCATTAAGCCTCATACTGGTAGCATAAATAATTCTACCATAACAAACCTGTTAGTCTCAGAATTAACAGACATATCAGTGGAGGTCCTCAAAGTTTGCTGATGAACTGACAGGTTTTTTTGGCATAAAAAGTGACAGACTGAGGGTTTGATCCTTCATGGCAGGTTTCTCTCTTTAATATCTTAGGCACTAGTGGCCTTTATTTTTTATGTTTATTTTTTTCAGTAGTAGGTAGACAGGAAATGTGTTTGGAAAGAGGGGGAAGACATGCAGCAAAGCTCACTGGGCGGCGTTTTGAACTGCTGACCTTTGTGTCGGGGACCTAATCCTCCATAAATGGGTTCAAGCTTTTTAAAGGTGACGCTTTACTCTTTCTATTCTTATTTGCATTGCTGTGTTGTTGTTACCCAGTCTGAACCTGAGGACCTGAGTTCACTCCATGTGTGTTTGTCATTTCAAAGCCGCCATCATCATCTTTTTGAACTTTTCCATGTCCACCTTCTTCATAATAACAGCTTTATGCGTTTTCTTCAGCAGCCCCAAAGTGTCCACGATCATCATTCCTCTGGTGTAAGTCCCAGTCAGTTCAACGCTGACCGGGTACTGATCGCTTTCTGTGATGAACAAGTCATCCATGGCGGCCGCCATGGCGTAGGAGTCACAGGATACAAATCCCGTGCAACCCAGACACTCGTTCTGCGTACTCTCTTTCTTGGCCTCCTCCATACCGTGGCGGAAGATTTTCGCCATGAAGCGAGCCTTGTCGCTGTCCTGACCCAACCAGGTGTCACAAAACTCCTGAAGAAATGAAAACAAGGACAAACTGCAGCATTAACCGGTCATAATAAATAATGTGGCAAAGATGTCATCCTACAAAAAAGTTCCAATTCTCTTTAAGAATTTTGATTAAAAAAAAAGTTAATAGATAAATAAAAAAGTGAAAGTAATGAAAAAATAATGAAAAATAATGTACCAGCAATACTGGAAAAACACTACTGCAGTTTTTATGTTAAATATCTATTTTTTATTTATTCAGAAAGAGCAAAACCTTAAAGGGATACACGCGCCGTTTCGTTTTTAAAAGATATAAATATAAAAAATATAACCGCGGATGTCTGGGGGACAGTGATTCGCCTACATGTTATGAATGCTGGAGTACCATAAATGATAAATTATGAACAGTTTAGTTTGTGCCTTCAACTCATTGCCCATAAGAAGAAGTTACTTGGATATAACCTAACGGAATATCTTCAGAACAGCTCCAAATGACACAAAACTCATATGGGTGAGTAGAACATGATGTAATAACGTAAAATCGGGGGCCCAATGGAAAAAAAATGGCGTTCGCCTTTAATGAAGAAGCAGCATGAGGACATCATTGCACCCGGCTTCAATAACAAGCAGCCATAAGCTGCTGCTTAAAAATGCACCATTTTCCTGATCCTCAGTACGTTTAAGCATCTGTTAAAGCTACTATAACACTCCATTCTGCAGCAGGTATTTCTAATCTAAAAAAATATTAACTAAAAAAAACATCCACTGGTGATTAGCAGATGTGCACTGACTAGAGGCGTTAAAGGTTAATTATGGAGCACAGCTGCCCTGTTTCTGTTATATGTCTGTTTCTGTCCATTTGAGCCCTGCAGAAAGGAGCAGACACTGAGCCTGGTTCTGCTGGAGGTTCCTTCCTGTTAAAAGATCATTTTTCCTCTTCGCTGTCGCTGCATGCATGGTCGATGTGAGGGATTGCTGCAGAGTCGACGACACAATGCAGATTAACGTTTACCGTGGCTACATGCTAATACAGGGGGAGCAAATCCAGCATAGTCAATGACTTGATGCAGTCAGTTTCACACTTAAAACCAAAAACTTTTTACCAATCTGACTGTATGATTTTAATGAACTGCTCTATAAAGTGCCTTGAAATGACATATGTTGCAAATTAGTCCTATATAAATAAAATTAATTGCACTGAATACCTTTTGATCACTAGTTATGTGAAATTCTAAGTTGCTAATAAAATTTCTTTTTAATTAAACCACAATAACAGCTTCTGCCTATAGGCTATAAAACTCCTTCATTAAGATGAAATGTATCAATACTTCATTGCTGGTAATCACTGTTTTTACATTTGCATTCCTCTATATACAAATCATCATCTATAACTTTTACAAGAAACTTTGCAGTTATTCGGTCAAATCAAACCGATCAAATGTGATCCAGTAAGAAACAAATTAGACTCACAACCTAATAAGGATCAGTAGATTTTTATTTTTTAAATCATTGAATATGTCGAAAATGAGCCTTACCCATGGCAGCTGGCTGTAGCAGGTAAACTCCCAGCAGGCCAGATAAGTGGGACACTGGAAATCATTCAGCACCACGTACGCAGCCTCTGGATCCGCAGCAAAGTTAAACTCTGCACACACTGTGATGTTTCCTCGGGCTGAAGGACACAGGAATACAATGTGAGGGCAAATAAGAAAAAAAATACTCTCACAGTAAAAAAAATAAAATAAAAAATGTGTTATTTGGACAGGTTTAATCATCTCATGTTTGCAATTAAAATCAGTCAAATGTCGGATCATGTAGGGTATGAATAGTTTTAAGGGCGTTCAGCAGCTTGCATGTGAGATGAAAGGCAGAGCTTCAAACAGCATGCAGGCTCTGAGGGAATGTGGAGAGCTGACTGAGGTCGGACCCTTTGGGCTATATTCAAAGGCGGGTATTATTTTACCCAGCTGTGACCCCGGCCTCTCTGCAGACCCATCCTACAGTTAGCTGAGCTACATCAGTGGCCTTTTAAAGGATAATTAATTAGAGAGACTCTCCTCAGTCTGAGCTGTATGTATTTCTATAACGGTTGGAAATATTATCATTATTCAGAGAAAGTTCTGTTAATTAAATATTGATTTTTTTTTTTTATTTCATGTGATTCCACCACCAAATGCCTGGAACAGTACAGGACGTGTACTGCTCCTACCATGGTACTATATAAAATAGATCAAAGGGAATTGTGTTGATTATGTTATATGAGATATAATCCTTTCTAAACTTTGAATTTGTAACTAAAAGTACAGAAAGTTGGGTTATTTCTGAGCTCACTGGTGGGACAAGATCGCAATGCTATAAAGGTGTCTGACCCTCAAACAGATTTCTCTTAGAGAAAACCCATCCGAACCAACCTGTTCATTGTATGAATACATGGCCCTGTATGCAGCTCCTGTTTAAAGTCATGCAGTATTTTTAACAGTGCGTTTCCCCTGCAGCAGACCTTACAGGAACCAGCCTAGTTTGTTTTCAGGGACAGAATTTCCTTTAGGGCTGCAACTAACAATTATTTTGCAAATCAATTAAACTATCGATTAATAGAAATTAAACCAGGTGAAACTACAGGTTTTCCTCTTGAGGAGATCTGAATGGATCATAATGAAGAAAAAGGTGGGTTTTCTGTATCTCAAATGCAAAATGTTTATAATTTTTTTTACAATTTTGGTATAATTACTGCTCTGTGAGTTTTCTGTCAGCTAAAGGCATGTTTTAGAGTATCTATACTCCAGTTGATGATTAATCAATTACTAAATTAGTTGACGTTTATTTCAATAATCGATTAATCACGATTAATCCGATTAATTGTTTTGGCCCCAATTTCCTTCGCCATGTTTTCACCATAAAAAATAAAAAAGTCAAATCAGACAAAATGGGTTAGAAACCAACCAGGAGAAATGAAGGTACCGGTAGGTTTTGGATGAACTCTGAACTTAAGATGGCCATTCCTGCTGGGAAGACGCCAAACATGCACTACTGGCTGATATGACCAATGTTGTGGTTCCTTCATTAACCGTTAATGGTCCTCTGGAGGCCATGTTTACTGAAAACAACACAATTCTTGATTGCAAACATCAATTGACGCCCAGCGCCTTACACTAAACATCAGTGTTTACATAAAAATACATGGATAAGATATGACATGTTGGTTTAAATAATGAAAAGTGCTGACTTTAGCTTTCAGTTTTTATAGTGTTTATAATCTGATATACAGATTAAAAACCTCCTCCGAGTTAAAATTGATTCAGTTTCAAAGCAGATCAAACGGACAAATTATTCTTTACAATAACTTTATGTAATCCAATAGAAGCTCTGTTGTTTCCAGTATCTGGTATCAGAGCAGTTAGCGTTAGTGCAGGAAATAGTGCTGTGTTTGTCTACACTGTGAAATACCCTCGAGGAGAAAAGATTGAACATGCAGAAAATATCTGCTTACATGATCCGTCTTATAAAATATTTTAGAACAATTGTAAATATTTCAGTCCAGTTAGTACAGCGGTCTTTACACCAAATCTGCAGTAAAAAGGTCTATTTTTGGTCTTTTTTTCATTATTTTAAACCTCATTCTGGACATCTCTGCTGCTGAGGTCGGTGATCAATGTGAAGCAGCTTTCCTACAGCCAGATAACCTGTTCAGATTCAGAGGCATGATTTTCACACTCCATAATGGAAATGTACCTTGATAAAGAGGTGTTGTCCTGATGTGTTGCCGTCTGAAATCTTTTAGCCTACGCCATATTGTTGGACAGGTCCTATATAATTAGATTTTTCTTATAAATGTCTGGCAGTTATCTATCTTGGTGTTGCTTCAGATAGTTATTAAAAATATTCTGCTAATCGTATTTCATGATTCAGAATACGGGGCTGGAATTTCTCCTAATGAACTAAATTATCCGTTCAAACTGCTCTTTATATTTTCTCCTCTTCAGATTCAAATTTGTTTGATAATCCAAAATATTGAGGTGGGACAAATAATTCAAAAGCACAAAAATCTGAGTGTACAAATACTTTTTTTTGTATGGTTCTGTAGTTTAGTAAGTGAGAGATATTATATAGGAGTCTTTTTACTTCGAATAGAAATATCTTATATCTGTGTCCCTTTTTCTTTAGTAAAGATCCCCTCCTTTAATCTAGAAGCTCTCTGTGTTTCACTCACACTCCGTGTTCCCTCCCATGATGTAGAGTCCTTTGAGTTTGCCCGGCAGAGATGGATCCATCCTCACAGCCAGAGCCAAGTTGGTGAGGGGTGCCGTGGCAACCAGACACACCTGGGAGACGCACACAGATTAAGAATTATGCAGAAAAGACTTCAGTACAGTTCAGCCCTTCTCCATGTCTCACCTCTCCGGGATTCTCGTTGACAATTCTGATCAAAGCCGACACAGCGTTCTCTTCCTGAATCAGGTCCAGACCAGGAGCACCGGGGTCAGGCGCGTCTCCTAGGCCATCCTCACCGTGGAAGTTCCCTCCACTGAGGCTGTTCCCAAGGATGGGCTTATCAGCACCTTTAAACACTGGAATCTAGACAACGAAACAAATAGCATGATTCAATGGATCAAGTCGACCACATGAAACTCTGCTGTGATGCAATATCATTTCTAAACCATACCACATGGTTTGACATCAAAAACTTTGCTAATAAGGAACTTTTTAGGAAATGTCCTCAGATTAACACAGGGTCACATTTTTGTGACTTTAAACAAACAGAAAAGTTCTGAGAAGTTCAGAAGTTTTCCCACAATGTTTGCAGAAAGCTCCGCCTCTGGACTTTTTGGACCTTTTTAGTTCCCCATGTGACAACTACAGGCATTCTACACTAATAAAAAAAACAGCTTAGTTTGCAAAAAAAAAAACAAAAAAAAAAACAGCTAGCATCTTTTTGTTATTACACTTTGTCATATTTTAACCCCTTTTTAGGTGCCGGATCAAATTGGGGAAGGATTTCAGAGTGTTTAGAACCACTGTTAACTTCGCAGCTGACAGCAGTTTGCCACAAAATAAAGGCTTTTCTCAATTTTTCTTTACAAAACAATGTCAGCTCAGAAAAAGACAGAGGGCATGTATGAACAGCAGTTTACAGCAGATTTTAAATTAGATGTCGATTTATGCTTTTACCGGGTCAAACTGACTAATAAATATGCTTTGATATAAACCCTTAATCGTACCTCTGCTGGTAAGTTTCAGGTCGTTTTCATACTGAATGGTGATTAGCCTCCCACAGAGTCCAGGCTTTCTATATTTTCCAGGATTTTAACTCCATGTGGAAGAAAATCATCCTCCCAGGGTGATACTGCCATAACTATGTAGCTGTATCAACTTGCTGCATATAGCACAACATCTTTATTTCAATTGCTTGTGGCTTTTAAACATTTTTTATGGCCTATTTCTTCCATTTAAACCAGATTTATATAAACACATATACATATATATATATATACATATATATAATAATAATAGTAATCCTAATACTCGTATTAACAACAGTCATTATCGTCTTCCTCTCAGCATGCCAAGACCCTTGATGTCACATGACAAAATTCATCCTGAAAGTTTAATGTGTATAAGTCCTCTCTACTGTTTAACATACTGACTGCTCAGTAAGGAAGTTGTGCAATAACGACATGTACAGAATGAACACAACTCATCCTCTAAACCATGGGCACTTGTTGTCCACCTCTTTCTCTAAATCACGAGACTTGAGGAACTCATTGTTAGGCAGATAAATTAAAACATGCTGACTTTTCACATGAGGCCAATAAAGGCTAACACAATAAGGAAGAACACTATGAAGGACAATTCAGAAATTTAACACTTTAAATGCAGATCTGAATTTCTAGAAGCAAATATCTAACCTTCTAAAGTTTGTTTTTTTTAACAGTACAAACTAAGATACGTCTTGCAGCTAAAAAAAAAAGCTGGTATGGGCAGCTCTGGTGCGCCGGATAAAGTTCAGATGTTAACAAGAGTTTAATGTAAGAGAACAGCAGAGCAGCTTCTCAAATGATTTATTCCTCTATTCCTTTGTTAAAATGCCATCTTAAAGTAGTTATTCTGCCACTAATTTTACTTAAGGCTATCATGTTGAGTTTTAGCACACAGATTTCTGTTCACCATCTACATAAAAAGAAAGACTCAACATTTCATTCAAAGAATTTCTGGACCCACCTCCAATTTTCTGCAGGCCTGCAGAACCCGCAGCACATTCTTGCACACGTTCTCTACTGTGGTGTTTCCGTGCACGCAGGTGATGCCCAGGATCTGTACATTGGGGTCCCCCAAGGCCAGCATAATGGCCTGAGCATCGTCTACACCACAGTCCACATCCAGCAGCAGCTTTTTAGTCATTTTGACCCCTGTAATCCATAGAAGCAACACATTTTGAATTGAATTTACTTCCAGAGCCAAAGTGTTAAATATTTTACCTTTTTCCAGACAATTCTGAAGGCCTTGTAGTTTCTTCTCCTTGCTGCTCTGCTCTGCCTCCGTGTGAGGCGTCCCTCTCTTCCTTTTATGCAGGGATGACATCAGACGTGAATGGGTTTTTCCCTGTGTGAGCAACAAATGTGAGCAGAAGAAAAAACGTGAGGATTGTAAATTGAGTAAGAGAAGTGTAGTGAACCCTGACCAAACGTACCACCCGCTGAGTGAGGACGCGGTAGCAGGGTGCTCTCACAGGATGGAAAGAAAAACTGGAACAAGAGAAGGAAATATGAAAGGAGAGGTAGATCTATTCATTAAGAATCTAATAAAACTAATGGGAAAAAATTTATTTATCTCAAGTTTTACATTTCAGATATAAATAAGGGGACTGATTTTTGCATTTTCCATATGGCTTGAAATCTATGACCAGGTCCTTACAGAGCCATACAAATTGATAGGAATCATTGAGCTCTTTCAGATTTTGTTACCTCCCTACATCGGCAAACTTTAACAATAAGAAGGTGAACTTTAACCCATTTCTCTATTCTTTAGCAGTCTTTAACAGGCTCTTTTTTATAGGCCCGTTTAACATTGAAACTATCAATTTTCCCTTCCCATATAGCTGTCCCAGATAAAGAAAATTATCCTCCCAGCATGATGCTCCCACCGTCGTGTTTCACAGCAAAAATTATGTGCTTAATATAATCTCCAGAGTTTTTCCTACATCAGTCTTGTGTCCTTTGTATGGCTTTGTGGAATATAGCCTGTTCAGAATGACACCTTCAGAACGGGTCCATCTAAAGATTAGGTGATTTGCTATGGATTTTATCTGACTACATGGGTCAGTATGGAAATGCATGCCATAGCTTTCAGTGTATTTAAAAACCATCCCTATCCATTTCATCAATATTCTCTGTTTTATAGGTATAGTGGAGGATGTTCTTTATCTGGGTGGATCATCAAAATAAGTGGTCCTCCTAATTGTCAATCATTCTGGTGATATGTTTACGCAAGGCCGTCCTACGTGCTTGTCCCCATTTGCACTACCGGTGGTGAGTCTAACATAGTGGGAAAATTGCAAACAGTCTTGGGAAAATAAGCTTATATGACAATGCAAACAGGAACTTTTTTAAACAGAGCATGCATGAGGAGAAATGGACTCATGAATGTTCCCTTGCGGGAGCGGGTACAGGGTCGTGCATGTGCCTTTTTTTTTTCGTTAAGTGGAGAGGGCGGTTGTTTTTTAAAAAATCGCGAAGATCCTCCACTATACCTTTAATATATCCCAAAAAATGCAGACTAAACCAGTTAGGTTTGTGGGTGGAATTACCCTAGCTAATTTTAGGAGTGGTTTCAAAACCTTTTGCAAGTTAATAGAACTAAGACCTTTAATATTAAAACCAAAATAAAATAAACAAAAGAACTGATTTTTCAATTTGCCATACTTTTATTTCTAAATCAGGGTAACTTCCTTGGTGAGAAATATTTATATCATTATCAATATAAAATCTGAACAATCACAGTTGAAAGAAAGCAATGAAAGCTAATTTTCCAAAACACTGGAAGCAACAATTCCAGGTCTAGGAAATTGACTTTTTATGCACTAAAGCAAAAGAACTTCTTATTTAAAGGAAATAAATACATTAGGATGTTCAAAATGACATTACAAATCTTAATATTAATCAACATTTGAAAATTAATGAATGTTTAACATACAATGCAGTCAATCTTCACTGAAACTAAAGAAATGTTTATATTCTTATTGTGAATTATTTACTTTATTTTAAATGTATGCAATTATGTTGAAGAATATAATTTATTTTATGTCTTTTAGTTTGAATTTTTTTTCTTCCTAGTGAGCACAAATACTCAGTTATTTCTGTTAGAGACAGAATTAACTTTCTTTCCTTAAAATGAACCTAAAATAAATCCATTTGCAGCCCAAATCATGAGAAAAACAGAAATCTGTTTACAGATTAAAACAAAAAAAACAAGCAAAAGAGATGTGCAAATAGAACCTATAAATAAATATAAAGACTTTGAGCAAAGACCATAATCTTATGGTGATAAGGTGTGCATTTATAAAAACACGAATTTACAGAGGGAGAGATGAGAAGAATGATGCTAAATAAAGCAGCTTAAACTATAACAGCTGTGCTGATAATATAAAACTAAATGAAATAAAAATTAAGCAGGCACTAAACTAATAATATCAAGAAGACAATTGGCGGGAGTTTTTTTAATTAACGGGATGTACAGTAAAGTCAATCATATCTTGAATCAAAAAACAAAAACAAAAAACAGTGGATTAGGTTAGAGAACAATACATGAACAAAAGCCAGTGGTCCCTATAAATTAAAGGATTTATTAAATGGGAGCCACCGTTATGCTGAAACCCTCAGGCTTTGCAGCTCAGTCTCCAGCAGACTAAAGATGTTAAACAGTAAAACGGAAAGTGAAACCGTTTCCGCCATTACTTTCTTTCCTTTCTGTAATCAGCATAATGTATAATAAAGTCTCACCATTCCACAGAGATGCTGACAATATGAGAGGTTGCCAATGTTAAAATCCTATTAAATAACATTTATCAATCACTATAGGAAAAAAAAAATCCATTTAGCGGCTGTCGTTAACGTAATTTGTTTCCGGGTCGAAGATTTTCTGCTTCCTTTGCGTTTCCCGCCAGTCAGATGCTGCCATCTTCTGGAGATTTGCATTTTTTTTTTCTCAATGGCTGTTTTGTTTCCGTTAACGTGATGTAAGGCAGTGTGTTTTTTTTAACACTGGTCCTCAAGGCACACTGCCCTGCATGTTTTAGATGTTTCCCAGCTTTCACACACCTGTTATCAATTGATAGCAGATTATTTTTGCTGAACTGCAATCATCTGAATCAGGTGTGCTGAAGCTCTGAAACATCCAAAACATGCAGAGCAGTGTGCCTTGAGGACCAGGGTTGAAAAACACTGATGTTAGGAACTGTCTTGTTGCAGAATGAGGCTGTCTCTTTTAAGTTATTTATTTTTCAGTTTTGTATGTTTCATTGGGTGGAAAATTACCGTACTGCCTGTTATTTATTCATTAATTTCTGTTGCCTTGCAATAGTTAAGTTGATCTCCTGTATATATTTTGTCTTCTCTTTTTTTATGTAAGTGGAGATTCCTATGGAAGCCCGTAGAAACGTATCTCATTATAATGAGATAGTATTTCATTATTATATATTTCATTATAAAAAAAAACCATTAAAATAAAATTAGAAATGTAAACAAAAATACACTAGTTTAGAAATACCTATTTAACTGACATTAGGAAAGATAATTGAATAAATGTTAGAAAACCCAAATGGTAAAAACAAACAACAGAATATGGCAAGAATTGTTTCAACGCAATCAACAAGAGGTAATGAAGAAGATATGAACATTAATAAAAAAAGTATTATCTTAGTAGGCCATACTGTCAAAGAGAAAAACTTCACATTATTTACTCATTTAATCATTCATTGTAAATTCATTATTCCTATTTCATTAAAACTTTACATATAAAAGCTAAAACCCCAAAAGGTCAAATATTGAGTCCCACTCATCTGGCTTCAACAGTCTTTTATTTATTATTCAGTTTTAATCCATTCTCTGTGAGTGAAGCACTATTCCCCATAATGTGTTCATACACTGTTATGATAAGGTCAAATGCCAGTCAGTAACAACTGAACATACTCTTAATGAAGAAAAATAAACCAACAAGTAAATGCAATCCAAAACATAATAAAACATGTAAACAAATATTGAAGGCCAAAGATAAGAAACAAGACTATAATTGGGGCTAGTCATAATCCAGACTAAAGCAGTGCTACTATGGGTAATCTGAACTGTAAACCCCATGCAGGATTATTTTTTTGTATGTTTTTCTCGTTCTTTCTCCATGTAAGTTGAATTAAGTAATTTTTAATCTAATTTCAATCAAAATATCAGTATCTTTAACCTAAGATGGAATAATAGTAACTGACTTTTTTATGAAAATAGAAGAGTGTTTTTAGGACCACCTGGATAAATGTGTACTTATTGTTAAAATTAATTAGTGATTTTATTAGAGCCCTACGATAGAGCATCAAAATAAAGAAAATAAATTCTTCCTCCAGCCAAAGTCCCAGAGAAGGTTTCCGACAGGTTGCAGCTAACACTGAACCTGATCCTCTTTCCTGTTGCAGATTTCTGTAAAACAGATGTAAACTAACAAAATACTGTGTAACCTAGGCATAAAAAATTTACACCAATCAGTCAAGTTTTTGTTTTGTTCATGACCTTTGATTTAGCCAACCAGTAACAAATTTCACTAGAATATAAAAACAATTTATTCAGCTTCTATTTCTCTATTCCCTCGTAGGCAATCTATCTCTGTGAATATCGATCCCAAATAATGTAATACCCAAAAATGTTTGGACTAGAATATATAGTAAGATGCTTTTTAGGCTTAAGAATGTTATAATAACTAAATCTAGTGTAATGCACGGAAGCTACATAGGGCAACCCCAATCAGGATGTAGGTAACTGTAAGGAGGTACAATAAAAGGCAAAATCCACGAAACACGTAAAATAAAATAAAAAGAGCAGCGTAACAATTTTATGAAACATTAATTAGAATGTAAAACATGTAGTCTGTATCTAGATTTGAACAGAAATGTTCAATTACCAAGTAAAACATCTTTGAAAAGATGTAACTGTATGTCCAAAAAACCTGAAGTGTAAATTAAATGTTGAAAAAATATATGCATGAAGAGGTCTAAATGTGGCTAAACAATTGTTTGGGTCAGGGAAACAGTCTTAGATAACGAAATGTTGGCGGGTTTATGTTTGATTTCGAAATTTTACCTAAAAAAGGAAAAGTGTCAACATTTTCCAAGAAACTTGCCAATATTTTATAGCATAAAAAAAGGTATCCACTGACATCCAGTGTTTGTTGGGAGAGTGATGCTATGCAAAAGTATATCAAATCCTTTCACTTTGCTTTCTGCACTTACTCAGTAAAAAGATGAAATCTACAAGAATCTGCTCAACTGTTTTTATTTTATCTTTTTACAGCTCTCACATCTGATTAGTAATATGTTAAAACCTCAAGAAACTCAACGTTTTTTTAATTTACAAAATAGATCTTGTCTCTGGATTGAAAAGATAGATAGACATTAATATACACTCAAGGAATCCTCAGCATAATTTGTTTTAAAAAGCCAGATGTAAAGAGAGGAATAAATGTACTAATCAGCAGAGGTGTCAAGTAACAAAGTACAAATACTTCTTTATCTTACAAAAGTAGAAATTTTGGCTATCTATATTTTACTGGAGTAATTATTTTTTTTAGACATTTTTTTACTTCTACCCCTTACCTTTTTTATTAGCAATTATCTCTACTTTTTACTCCTTACATTTAAAAATAGATTCGGTAGTTTTGTTTCCTGTAAGCTAGTTTTCATTATGGCCTTTTGGTATTTAAAAAAAATAAAAACCATCGAAATAATTTGTTTAACCCAGATATTGAATTTCTTTGTAGTTGGACCAACTTGTTGTTCACCACATACCAAAATAAATAGTTTTTCCAAGTTGATGCAAAGTTAAATTTGATACTGTTACCATTGGTTATAATAAAATAAAAAAAATAAATAAATAAAAAAGTATAAGGAAGTTATCACCTATAATTGTAAAAAAAATGTTCCTTTAACCTCTTAAAACCCACCAGGTCCCCTGCGCCAGCTCCAAGCTGACACAAAAGTTCCAAACGCCACAGCTCTGGAAGTGTTATAGCTAGAGGTCTGAAATTTTCTGCATTTATGGTTGACATGATGTAGAACAAATATAATACAATAAAACCTACCTTTTCTCAAGAATGTCTTTATTACTGCTGTTCAAAAAAGACCAATGATTTCTGAGAATAAAAAAACAACAACTTTTAGTCATGTTTGAACTGATGCAGGTTGGTCTGTGTTGTAGTCACCAATTTTAATTTGTATATTAGGAAACTAGAGGGTATTAGCTTTCAAATAATGTATTGCACATGTAATTTGGGCTTACAGTTCCAAAGTTATTCGCTTTTCCATTTGGGTATGCAAAATAGGCGAGGATTACCCAAAATGAGGTGGATGTTAAGAGGTTTATGGGGTATCGCAGTAAATTATCTGTCCTTAAATTTTTTTCCACATTGCTTTTACTTTTATACTTTAAGTAATATTAAAAATGGTACTTTTACAATTTTACTTGATTAAAATCTTAAGCTGATGCTCTAACTTCTACAAAAGTGTTTTTTAAACAGTAGAAGTTATGCTTTGACTTGAGTAACAAACATAAATACGTTTGACACCTCTGCTAATCAGCAGCTTCTTTAGGTACACCTTACTATTACTGGGTAGGACAATGTTTTTGCAGCCCGTGCTGCCTCAGTTCTTCATGGCATATATTGAACAAAGTGTTTTAAAACTGATTATGATTCATAAATGCATGAAAATTGCCGGCTGGATTTTAAACATACAAATCCTCCAAACAGGCCACATCCAAAACAGGTTCTGTTAGATTGAGATCTAGTAACTGTCTAGGATATTTGGGAGAAAATAAAGTCACTGTCATGTCACGGGAACAGTTTATTGGCATCATTTAGACTTAGTGACAGGGTGCATTATCCTGCTGGAAGAGAGCATCAGCAGATGTGTACACTTTGTGGTTATCAATATGAACACAGCACTATGGCTGCATTTGGTGCTTCAATCATGCCATATGTTTTACAAAGAGGCCTGTGAAAATCCTAGTAGAGCAACAGTTTCTGAAGCACTGAGACCGACCCTGTCTGACACCAACAATATTACCATGCACCCAACTTTCCTTTCATCTGTTAGTGAAACAGGTCAATGCTTAGATTTTCAAATAGATTTGGTGGCTGCTATGTGATTGGCTGGTTAAACCTTCAGGAAAACAATGAAAATAAAATGGTTGCTACAAAAAAAAAAACTCTTAATCCACAATAGAGCCAACAGGAAGTTTCTTTTAGAGACTAAAACATGTTTAAAAGTGGGACACTAGTAGTGCAGGAAGCTAAATATGAAACGTTCTCACAGTTATAGCAAGCAGTGTAAGAAATAATTATTTGCATAGAGGAGGTTAAGTTATGATGAGTCTTCTAAGATATAAGCATTTGTCAAGAGGTTTTTAGAATTTATATAAAGATGCAAACAATCTTAGCATAACTGCTACAAATGGCCTCTATTAACTTTATGCAGATTGGAGTTTCGGTTTCAAACTAATCATACGTGCACAGCAACAGAAGCATTTACTTATGAAGGTGCAACAGGTCACTCACAAAGCTCTGTGACAGTTCAGCTATATAAGGCGTTTGTTAATGCATGGTCAAAGTAAATCATTATATACACAAACTTATGATGACATAGAGAGATAACGTGCTCATCAGAACAACCAGGTGCCTTATACAGAGCAGAGAAAAAATATTTACCTCAATCTGCTCTACTTTTTTTAAAATCCCTTTTATTTGTTACAGATTTTTATTTGGATTTTGGTTTAAGGATTTTATTGTTTTATCAAATTCAAACCAATTTCGTTCTAAGTGGGGAAAAAAGCCCTTATATTATCTGAGTCTAATATATGCCTAATATAAGAACGTAATTTAGCTCTTTTTGAGCCATATGGAAATGAAAGTTACAGTTTTAGATAATCTGAAAGTCTGAAATTCACAAACTGATGGGAAGATGTTCACCTAGAAGATTTCACAGCAAAACGTCCAGGTCCTAAAGGAAGAAAGTAGCCTTAGACCTCCATGATGTTTGACAGGAGCTTAGATGTTTTTTTTTTGTTTTTTTTTAGAAATCCTGTATTGGGTTTTTACAGCACATGTAATAAGATGCTAACATTACATAAAGGATATTTAATCCACAGACTATTTCTAAAAAGTTTTGCGATCATCAAGATGTAGGGTAAGATAGGTTGGCTGGTCATTGTTTGAAAGGTTCCCCACTGATTCAGATTTTTTTCTCATCCACTATCTATCTAATCTGTTGCTTTGAGATCTTTTAGCCTACTTCATGCTGTCCAACAGGTTCTGATTAAAGCAGCACTTTATAAGTTTTAAGCCAAGAAGCAGCCTAATTTTAGATGTAGGATTTATTTAATGATTAAAAATGTTTAAGTTTGGAGAAAAACAAAAAACAAAAACAGAATAAATCCATCAGGAGGTTAACACTTTTTCCCTGAAATGCAATCTGTTTCTCATTAGACATGTGTAATTATTATTTTTTAGAAAAAAATAATTACGTCTTGGCTGTAAACCTGCAGAGTGCTACAGGTGGTGCAGCTATGATGCACACAACCCATGATGTGACACAATAAATTTCAATCAGCTCTCATTTTGGCTGTAAATTTCAATTCAAGCAAATCTAAAAAATGGGGGGAGGAAACATCTTTAAAACTATCTAGCAGAACTGGCACTTGGACACTGATAATCCTAACACAGACTAAACACAAAACCAGGGGCTGCTGTGTCAATTCGCCTAATACATTTCTTTAAACATATATATAGAATGTACTTTTTCAGTTTTTTTTATTTTAAGTCTCTTGGTTCCATCAAATACCAGTCTGATTAGGTCTCAACCTTCCCATATGTCCCCTCTGGGGGGCGATACTGTTTGGGGAAGGCCTTAAGCTGTAGAGAGTTAAAGGCATATTTTCGACATCCCACGTTCTTCATGGTGTTTTCCCTCCTGCAGCCCTCACTGTGGAGACACAGAAACAATGTTCAATTCATTTAGCGAGGATTCATTTTCTCCAGGTGAGCCGCAGCAGACGGGACTGACCTGCGCATACAATCCAAGGCCTGGTAGAAGACCTGCGGGGCCATGGCGTGTTCCTGCTGCAGGATCTGACACTGCTCCAGAGTCAGGGACATGGCTGTGCGGTCCTTGGCACTTTTACAGCTGGTGAAACGCACTCCGTTCAGGCGACGACATGCCTTTAAGATATGAAGCAGCAGATGTGACATACTTGTTATTTAGTTGATAGTTTTTTCTGCAACATACAGTACAGAGGAGGAGAAGAAGTCCACCTCTGCTGCCTGCCACAGGATTTCTACGTTCTTGCTCTTCTTGGCGTTAACGTTCTGATTCAGCTGCTTGAGGATGTCGGGCAGAGTGGTGGTGCTGCGGGATCGAGGCAGACCTGAGGAGGTATCAGCGGAGGATGGATGAGGAGGCAGAAAGACAAGGAAAAACACTGCTTGGTTTGTGTTTGACTCACAGTCTTCAGGAAGGACCTCTTTAAACTGATCGTAATATGAACTGAGGCGAGTCATGCTCTCCATGTTGATGACATCTTGGAGAGATGTGTCTCCAAATCTGCAAAGAAGAAATTTTTGAAAACAAAGCTTCATGCTTTTCCTCCACCTTCTGTGATAGACTGTTCAATATGTCCTCTTTACAATTAAGATTTTATGTTCCTGCTTTCAGGATATTTAGTCTTTTTTGAAAAGGGACCAAAAAAAATCTAAGTCTATAATTTTTCCCTCCATATTTTCAGACTTAGAATAACAATAGACATATTTAGATGCACAGAGAAAACACCAGATAATGACTGGAGCACTTCTACAAATTTATGCTTTAACTGCATTCCAACAGTAATTTAGAAATATTTATACTTATTAAACAAGGCTCAGTCGACAGAGAGTAAAATCTAATTGTGAGTAAACATCCATTAACTTTATCTATCAGTGACAGGTACTCACTTCTCAGCCAGCGTCTGCTGCTCATTGATCCCCACGTTGAACAGAACTGGCTGTACCCGAAGCAGCATCCCATTCTGGATCTCTCTTGGCAGCGTGTCGAACATCACGCTCGGCATGGGAACCCTAACGTTGAAACCATTCCTGTTCCCCGTGATCACCGGCAGCATGTCTGGGCTGAAACCAGAGGTTGCCTGGGTAACCTTAAAGGTGACATTTCTTAGGTCCATCACTCCAACACTCATGTCCTCCAACATGGCCAACTCCTCCCCTTTAAGACACAAGGTTTTAGGCAGGACACATATCAACCTTTTATAGTGTTACAATGAAGGCTTTACACTATTCATTTCAGATAAGGTCATATTTTGTTTTAAATATAATTATTTGAACAAGAGCAGACGAGTGTGCCACCTACTGAGGAGTTCAATTTGTAGGTATCTCCTTTAAGCAGAATATTTTTTATGGCTGTTTAAGTTTTGTATTAATTAAAAATATATGCATGTAAGCCAAAAAATATAAGATGGTATTTAAAAGAAAACTGCATTGTCAAACCTACAATGTAACTTTAGGCTACTGGGGGAGCTCAACCTATAAGTTCCAGGTTTAACATCCCTTAAAGCGACTAGAAACATAGGACTGCCCTAAATTAAATCATCCATAGATTTTTGTGAGTTTCTTGTAAAGTCAAGGCCACATTCACCCCTTCAGATTAAATCCTTTGTCAGATAATCAATATTATGTTTAAGTGTCATTTGATCAGACAGTCATAAAGCAGCACTCTGGATCACATGACTCATAAAGTGACGGATTCAACCCTCTAAAATTATGTAGGTAAGATTTTGGAAAAAGCTGCCAGCAAGTAGCATTGATATGAATCTGAATCAGAATCAGAAATACTTTAATAATCCCAGAGGGAAATTACTTTTGTTACACGCTCCAGTTACAGTTTTATACAATATATACACACATCCAACTATACAATATAATAAAGATAAAAAATAAGAATAAAAAGAGATAAAATATTTACACATATAGCTCTTCTGTATATATATCTGAACGTATATCTATGCATATGTAAAAACTAAATCCCAATGGATCTTGCATATCCCAATATGCATCAACTTTCTGTATAATAACATAAAAAATAATTGAATTGATCTCAAATTAAGCTTATATTTTGGTTAAAAGTTATGCAGTATTGATTTAACAGCATGATAAGAAATATCCATAGATAATTCAGACTGTAGGAGAGAGCAAGATTTTTAGAAGATAACACTAAGGTTAAATGTGTTTTGCTCTGTCTAAACATCCTCTCTGTGTTTTGTAAAGAGCCTAAAGTACAATACCTTTCAGGGACCAAGCAGTCAATGCTATACTAAAATATACTCAGCTTAATTAAATTCTTCAATTATTAAAAGTTTTCTACCTCTTTCTATCTCAGAACATGCTGGATAAGGGATTGTCGGCAGAGGGAAGGATTTATAATTTCCAGGATTCATACTTAAAAACGAATGTTTAAACTATATTGTCACTTAGCATATTAGTAGATATAATAGCTCAGATCAAAAAATGCTAACATTAGGAAGGTGCTATCATCATTCCGCTATCATCGTGAAGCAACCCCAACCACATTACAGGGGAATAAAAGATCTTGC